CTTTTCGGGGCTCCTCAGGCTTAATGGGATCCCTTCTCCTCCGGTGGCGGGATAAAACCCTACGTTGGAGATTCTTCAGCGCTGTGTGCCCCTGAAACAAACCCGGCCTGAAGTACATTAAAAGTGTAAAGCTGCGTTGCAGCAGCTCCGATTATGGGCGACTGCGAGGGTTGTTAAAGGAGTTGCAAGGATAAAACCAACCAGGTAGGTGGTCTGCTCAAAGGCACATTCCGCCGCAGTCGGATGGGCGGAGATTCACGACGTTCATGACACCTGCATCTCTTTTCTCTGTCGCCTCTGAAGGAGGGGGGAGGACCCATTGTGGGAAGAACAATCTTCTGTTTTCTTTTTTTTTTTTCTTTTTTGAGACCTCCCCTCCAGTTGTGGAATGTTCTATTGAGCACTGTACTGTCAACTTACCTAATGAATCGTCCCTGTAACATCCCTTTAGGGCTGCTCTTACTCTTACACCAGAAGCCGTGAAACGTGTCCGACATCTTCTTGACAAAGAAAAGGAAGCGAAAGCTCTCAGGGTGAGTTTCCTATTTTGGTTTATATTGCTGACTGCAGACCGCACCAAGCTTGTTACGATGTTAGGCGCAAGGGCCGCAGGAAATGTCTTTCCTTCGCGCGTCAAAAATAAACCGAGCGAGTTCCTTCCATTTCCGTTTTCGCCCGAATGTTAACCCTTCTGAACAGTGATGGTCTCTGATTGATAGTGATGAGGATTGGGGCATTGGGTGTAATCATCCTGCCAGGTTAGTCGCTTTTCAGGTCCCACAACTGGTGGACAGGTTGACCTATGTCGCTATAGCGCCTACTGCAGCCCCTGCGGTCATCTGATAGGGTTACCTCCTTGACTGTGATGACCCACAGCTGTCTAGTAAGCGTCGGCTTCGCTTCGCAAAATTGCGCGGAATGGGCTGTATGATGCCGCTCTTTCCTTGCCAGGGATCCCGTCCAGCTGGGTTCACGGGTGACCGCAATAAGACGGGATAGAAGAGGGAATGATAAAGATTCGAATATGGTGGTTAGTAACATCAACATGGGGGTTCTTATTCGAGTACGCGCTGTTCGCCGTAGGCTCTTACAATGGTCAAACTGTTTAGGAGTCTCACTCAGGACGTTTCTGACGCCTTTTTGGCCCTTTTCTCTATGAACATACCACTTATTACCCTTTTTACATGATAAAGCGCCATTGCCCTCATTTTACCACCGTACTTAGTGTGTTTAGAAGTATACGCAACGGTGCCCCTTTTGAGTTCGTTGAAATTTGTTTGGCAACCAAACAAATCTTTCTATTAATCTACACCACACACAAATTTAGTGATTTTTTTGCAGATTGGTGTCCGGCAACGAGGTTGTAACGGTCTCACCTATACCTTAGATTACGCAAAAGAAAAGGCAAAATTTGACGAAGAAGTCGAGCAGGTAGGATAGACGTAGCATTACTATTACTGGTTTCAAACAACGAGTACCATTATTCGGATGGTGTTCGGCATATGGATTGAACCGAAAGCTCAACTCGGCGTTACTGGGAACAGAAATGGACTATGTTACTGATAGACTGAGTTCCGAATTCGTATTCCGAAATCCAAACATCAAAGGCACGTGTGGTTGTGGAGAATCGTTTAGTTTATGACCGCAGTCTTGTTAGTCAGTATATTTGACCAGATGTAATGATTGAAGTAGAGTAGGGATATATGCTGTAAGCTAGTTTAAACGTCTACTGGTACTTAGGATCCGATTCCGTGACGTGATAGGATCGTTTGTTTCTCTGTGTCTCTTTCATGGACACTATTTGCCGCTTCTTTCTTCGCCACCTCATTATCTTACTTTCCTACTAGGTAATTAGCCCGTAGCCCATTATGGCGAGCGCTATTTGGCGTACGCTCTTGTATAAATTGAAATAGACTATTATTCTGCATATTTGCATGAATGTATTGTGTGAGTAAAGATTTATCGTAATTTGGCCTTTGATTGTGGTTTGTCCATACGTGCAATGTGTCGTGGAATTATCTTACTTTATTGAGTACTTTGTAACTTAATCACTCTGATATTCTGCCCTCCTCTTAGAAATGGCTCCTAGCGACGACGCATCAAAAAGGAATGTAAAGAAGGCGTCGAAAATGTCAAATCCTGTCGAAAAACTTCAGTGTTTACCGGCTCATGAAGACAGGAAGACTGTTGATGGGTAAGGTTTTCTTCTGGTATCGAGAATGACTTGTTAATCTTTAGGGAGACGTATTGACTGTTTGAGTAGTGGGTTGTAGTTCTGAACCATTTTTCACGAAAAAAAGTAGCTTCAAGAAAATGTTATCCATCCCAATGTGGTTTCGTCCACGTGCCTACCGTGGGCGGCATTCACTCAACGATGCCGTCCTGAATCCGCAGCCATTGGCGGGAAGCCGTTCGCCGGCTGCGATTCGACTCCCGCTCCACTCAGACGCCCCCTCGTTTGCGGAGATCATGACTAATTGGAAATTGCTGTGAATGATACGCATATCGATATAGCCTGTTCGTGAACAGCAAAAAGCAGAACTTCACAGAAAGGGAAACATTTAATTCAATAGAATCTCGCAAAATGTGCATAAAATCACAAAGATTTTCAAAAAACTGCTTTTTGGTGTGAAAGTAAGGAAGTAAAAAAATGGTGGTAGAGCTGAGGCAGTCAGAGCTAACGTTTGCATAATCACAATTTCCAGTGAGCAAAAAAACACAACTGGGCCCTCAAAACCATGTAATAGTAATCTTCTACACAATAAGAGATCATCACACAAATAACAATACTGCTTGGGGAACTGTGCCAATATTCCCGTAATCATCATACCGAACAGCACACATATCCGCCGGTCCAATATTCACAATCGTTGCCGAGTAATACTAAAAAAATAAACCACTCAAATGAGATGAAAATCTGCGAAGGCTATACCCTTTATCCCGGAGATGGGAGGGGGTGTGGCTGAGTACTTCATCTGAACATAGGCGGCAGCTGCTCCTCTGGGAGGATGTCGCCGTATTGAGAAAACCGAAGTGATGCCTTTGTTCAGCCCAAGAAAGGATGTATTTGTCGCAAACGGATTTATCATGCGCAAACGCATCCTTTGCTATGCTTATGTGAAGTCCGAAGCCAAGCCCCTCTCACCTTCGGGATGAGGAGTGTACTTTACCATTCCATCGTTCCAGGGTGCTTTGCAGTGATCACCTACTTTCCACCTTGGCATGGAAAACTGGGCATTCAATGGGGGACCACTCCTTGATGGAGCAGACCTATTGGACTCGTATCGTCGAGGGTCACCATCAAGGCGCATATTTGAGAAATCTGAAAATGAAATGTATCCTTCAACAGATATCAGTATCGGCGTTGGCCAACCTTTTGGCATGCATGAGACTTCCATTCAGTACTTGAATAATACCAGAATGTGACTTTAGCTTGCAGAGCACATCAGCGCGCTGAAAGGCGGGAAAATGGGACTAGGAAAGTGCCGAAAGTGGGGATGATGTGAGCGTTTCTCCATTCGCAGATAATACTGACATCAATTACAATCATGTTCACTGCAGATGAAAGGGTGAATCTGGTGGGAATGGTTTTGCGCGCCCCAGCTCATTCGCCTACCAGTTTTACGTGCCAATCCCATCCTTACACAGGACTAGCGGCGAAACTGACCGCTAGCACATACTTAGCCTGAAGGTCGAACCAGGGATATAGTTCCAGCTGGACCAAACAGTCTTCCATTTCTTAAAGCTTGATTTATTGCTACCATGTCCGTCTGGAAGATAAAACAATGCCCTAACATCCATGTGAACCACCAATTAGGCCTGATATCCTAATCCTCAGCAGAACTTGAAAACCTGGCGCATCCCAAAAACTTGGGAACCTCGCCTCTCATGAAAAATTCTTAGGAATGGAACCAAACCTCTCACCATTTACAAACCGATCTCGAGAACGCTCTGAAGACGGGATGAAGTCCGATTGACCTCTTGGGCTTCTATAGGTAGAGGGCACAGAATGAGGAGGAAAACTGAAAAAGTGATGCATAATCTTGTTGGGGAAAACGTGAGAAAGGTAATTCCTATACTCACTCGTTACGACTGTTGGCAGGACCACTCGGCTTTTGCTTGTAGACTTGGCTGGGAACCGTATTTTGCGGTGGGCTGGCAAACCGCTGCTGTGAATTTGGGTACTGTTGTTGAAACCGATTATTTTCACGGCGTACGCTGTTAGGTTCACGTGGCCTTTGCTTATAATCACGATTCTCTCCAGAAAATGTGGAGTGTGGAGGTATGTCTCGCTGCTCCTTCCCTTGTTTAGGATAGTTCCCTTTGTAACTAGAATTCCCTGAAAGAAAAGACCTGGTAAGTTGAAGCCATTTTTCGGGATCAATTCAAACCTCTTTTCTGCTGGCCATCAGAGGGATGAATTTCCTTTCTTGAAAACTGTCCACTTATCCGAGGTGGATTCACGGAGTTGCTATTTGAAGCAGGAGGCTGTAAATACAACAATAGGACAGCAGAAATTCGGACCTCACCCCTGTAATTAAAACAGCAAACCGTAGGACGGCTATTGTCAGCATCTGGGATGACGTTAGTGGCAACGAAATCGAAGAGTGTAGATGGCTTGGATGGACGCGCGAATTCGGCAGGCACCTGAACAGCGCCATTGATAGGGAGCACCTCCGAGGCAATTGTAAGGTGGGGACTGAATTACGGACTCGTCTATTTCTAGGGTATAACCCTTGTATAGAGCGCACCACGACTTGAGAATTTAAAGTGCAAAAAAGGACAAAGAAGCAAATGCTGCGTGCGCTTTGCGAAGTTGCGAATAAATGCGCGCCGTATACCCCAGAAAAAGGGGAAATTGCGACGTCACTGGAACTATACTAGCGTAACCTATGTGAAAGAAGTAAAAAGGCATCACAAAGTTGCCAGCTTAAACGAAAAGCCCGAAACATGCTTATATTATTATGTGACAGAAACACTTGTTGCAGTTACCTCCTCATCGTCGCTGTCTCCACCACGTCGCCTCCCTTTCTTGACGCGACGATCGTGACCTCGTTCTTTGATTACGGCTGGTTTTGCAGTTCTGATGACATTTGACTCTTGGGATCTCGGCGGAGGTTGAATCTAAATGTCATTCGAAAATCTAAGAGAAAATGTACACTCACCTCCAAAGACGTTCCCATCAATTCGCTAGATAAATGGGTAAATGGCAGCTGTAGTAGGGTGTCACTTTATGAATGCACGCAAACGTGGCTGGAGGGCTATCGTAGCGGGCTAACGTCCCCAACCGCCCACGTTATCCTCAAAGTGGAGCACTGCGTGGATGCCAATTCCACAACGGAACACGTACTCAGCGGTAGAGAACAACCATCAATGACAGGCCCAG